TGTTTTACAGATACAAAAAACATTTTAATGAGATTGAACATTGTAAATTTTTCCGCGGCAGTTGCATGTTGTGTGTGTATCAGAGTCCGAAATTCGCAAAATTTGTAACTGGTCCTTCTCGAATATTCTAAGTGTTTCTTATCAGGTTTAACTGGTCCGCTCCAAGAACGAGTATATATATCAATTCCATTTTATCAATTTTTTATGAATGAGAATTTTTTAAAGAAAGACACAATTTCAAAAATGTATGTGTATACGTATGTCTAGTATTAAACATTGAAAATAGCAGTGTTTGATAATATCACACTTGGGATGTACATAACCTTTATAATAATCCAGATAAACACAAAGATAATGTGACTTGAGATTGCTATTTTAATACTGACCAAAAGGTAAGGTATTTCTCCATTGAGATGTTAATATTCGTCACACTTTCTTTGGATTCATCCAGTTTACACGATCCAGACACTTCCTTTCATTTCATACGCCATAGCGATTTCCCATACTGTTTTAAAATAGGCCAGGGATCCCCAGAAAGCTCGAGGCTCCATTTTTAAGTGAAGAAGGTACTTCCAGAAGACAAAATCACAACTATTGTTTTAAGAAAAAATGTACGTTTAATGAACCTATTAGATTATTATTATATTTTTACTATTTTACCCACCCAGGGGGTCTCCCAGCTGATAATGGCCGACTAACAAACACGAATTTCAAACCCAGGTGTGTATATATATATTTTTGCATGACTGGCTGTTTTAACAATACTGTTAAACCTTGACTGATGTTACAAGCTAGCTGGACAATTTGTTTTGTGTGTGGAGTTTCACCCTTGGGTACCTTGAATTAAAAACTTCACTCAAGTTTACCATTTAATAAAACAAATCTCTGGTTATTGAACAGTGTTATTAAAAAACTTCACTCAAGTTTACCATGTAATAAAACAAAGCTCTGGCTATTGAACAGTGTTATTAAAAAACTTCACTCAAGTTTACCATGTAATAAAACAAAGCTCTGGCTATTGAAAAGAGTGTTATTAAAAAACTTCACTCAAGTTTACCATGTAATAAAACAAATCTCTGGTTATTGAACAGTGTTATTAAAAACTTCACTCAAGTTTACCATTTAATAAAACAAAGCCCTGGCTATTGAACAGAGTGTTATTAAAAAACTTCATTCAAGTTTACCATGTAATAAAACAAAGCTCTGGCTATTAAACAGAGTGTTATTAAAAACTTCATTCAAGTTTACCATGTCATAAAACAAAGCTCTGGCTATTGAACAGAGTGTTATTAAAAAACTTCATTCAAGTTTACCATGTAATAAAACAAAGCTCTGGCTATTGAACAGAGTGTTATTAAAAAACTTCACTCAAGTTTACCATGTAATAAAACAAAGCTCTGGCTATTGAACAGAGTGTTATTAAAAAACTTCATTCAAGTTTACCATGTAATAAAACAAAGCTCTGGCTATTGAACAGAGTGTTATTCAACTTAAAGACTTGTTATTGTTTATACTTGAAAAATAATGTTTTTCAGTGTGACACGGATTTATGAGTCATGCTATTACCACATGAAAGTGTTCGCGGAACACTCTGCTCCTTTAGCAATTCATTTTACACGTGCATGGTAATTCTTGTTATTTCAGACTATGTTATTTACATGAACATCAGAATTCGAGTCAACAAATTTACTGAAAATGCTCTCCGAGCTTATTTTAATAGATGGCGTTGTAACATAATATTTATAAATGAAATTCTCTGCTAAATGAATCAAATTACGTTGCGTTCATTAAAAAAAAATAATAATAAATATAGTGTGATTAACAGAATGCACTACGTTGTCTAATATGTATTTATACATAGTAATGCAAGTAAAAATTCAGGTCAAAGAGTTTATTAATATGTAAAATTTTCACGCTTTACACTGTAACTTGACACAACAATTTTGGAATTTGGAACATATTGTTTGTTACAATGGTGAGTTATAAAATGTTCAAGATATCTAGTGTCATTGTTCCCGTTTAGTAGGAATAGAATATATATATATATATCCAAGTGAAATGATTAGTCAGATTCGATATCAAATAAGGCTAGCACCTGGGGAAGCTTTGACGAAGGATTTTCTTTTGAAGTGTTGTAGAGAAGCTGAAGTTTTTAAGAAGTTTTAATATCTGCTTGGTATGATACCAGCTGTGCTTAAAAACCTGAGTGCGAACCTAACGATATGGAAGCGTTTTGCTTTTATAAGTGATTTATCTTTCTTAGGTTTGGAAGTCTGTCCTAATGTAGCCTGGAGCGGACTTTTTTGTTGTTGTTGTTGTTGTGTTGTGTTGATGTATTAGCAGGTGTAACAGTATAACAGTTATTGTAATAATTGATTTTTATGTTCTGTACTAAATATGCTTAGGAGAAAATTGAAATATTAATAATTAATTTTCGCGGTCATATAATATCGCTAGTACAACTTGAAACATTAAATTAAAAATTCTTATGATGAAATAGCTCTATTTCTATACAGTACTGGTCTTGTATCTTGACTAAGTATTTTCAAGATTTATTACTAAACTAATCTGTTTGTACTACGCTTATCGAAGAGCATCCTCATATCAGTAAATTACGCTTCTTTTAAATACAAGATATATTTGCCTATTTTAACAAATTTTAGTCTATCGTCTATGAAACAGAATGTTTAAATATTTCAATTCCAACATCACTTATAAGGAACAGAACTGAATATTTGGCAAGTGTTTAGTAGAACATGTTTATCAAGATATGGAAAGAACATCGTTTGTTTATTTGTTAGAGAATTTCGCGCGAAGCTACACAAGGCTGTTCCTAATTTTGAACATATAGACTAGAAGGGAAACAGTCAGTCAAATAACACCCACCGCTAAATCTTGGTCTATCCTAGTCTAGTCTGATTAAATAGTGTGATTTGAAAGTCACTCTTATAGCACACTTATGACCTCAGTTTGCGGAGTGAGAGAGAACGTTTTTGCGGTAATAGGTCGCAAACCACGAATTCTCGTATTCAAAGTCTAGGGCACACAAACATAAGTGTCGAGTACAAAATTTTGGTCTAAAGAAATTCAAATCACTAAAGAAAGTTTGAAGGGTTAATTGGATTAACTTGAAATAAGAAACAGTCTTAATCAGCAGTCACTGCGACTACTACAGGGTGTGTTTTTATTATACATGATAGTTTATGATGGGATAAACCTGAATATATGGTACAGTGGTTTGGAGTAAAACAACCTATATGTTATACATGATAGTTTATGATGGGATAAACCTGAATATATGGTACAGTGGTTTGGAGTAAAACAACCTATATGTTATACATGATAGTTTATGATGGGATAAACCTGAATATATGGTACAGTGGTTTGGAGTAAAACAACCTATATGTTTCAGTAAATTCTGGCTATCAATGGAAGTGGTAGCGAACTCATTAGAGTACATCACATATTTTATTATTTTACACTAACATTTGTGTTTTAACAGCGTTTGAATTCAATGTGTACACCACTTTCAAGTTGTTTATGCACCCATAGGCCGCGAGGAGAACTGTCAGTAGCGGGTGGCCTCGTGAGGACCGCTTGTCACCCAGCAGTCGGGGGTTAAACACTAAGGCTAACAAGACTCTAGTGCTTCGAAAGTCTGCTTGCTGTCATGGATAATCGCCCCCTTCTGGAAAGAGCGCGCACGTTAATTTATTTGATTAGTGTTCTCTATTGGTAAAAGAAGTTTGTAATTTTCCTCGCCGTGATACTTTAGCCCGACTTAAACCTACGTTGTTAAGAAAAACATCGAAAAAAATAGACGGGCGGAAAAGTCTCACCAGATATCAATCTACTAAGGTGGTATTTATGAAGTATTTGGATAGGGCTTACTATAAACGAAATAATAGAGGTCGTTTTAGACCAAAGTACTCTACAGTTTACTCTGTTCGTGCGTAGTGACGTCGGCTTATCTATCGTGTATGTGTTTTACTTTTAACGTTGCACTGTTTCCATGGCCTTTATTTGTATTATCCGTGCAATGCAGGTCTTTCTTTGTTAAGCATGTTAATACCACTGGTTACAGGTTGCTTGTGTTACAAAGAAACCTTTTCAGGTTTGGACTGCTTAACTGCTACGTATAACGAAAGAACCCCGTTTTGGGGTTTGAAATTTTTGCAAGTTACTTTTATGGTAAGAAAACCCTTTTAGGTCTGTATTTTTTATAAATTCCATGTACCCTAAAGAGACTTAATCAGGTTTGGAATCGTTATACTTTCCGCATATCTGTTTAGGTTTAGTATGTTTTGAATGTTTGTAAATTTATTATACAGTTTTGCAATGTTTGTATGTTTTTGTATTGAAAATAAACCTGTGAAGTTTGTAGATTCGGAATGTTTGTAAGTTCTCGTATGACTCGAGTCAGATACTGAAATGACCATTTCTTGTATCGCAAGGAAACATGTTTAAGTTTTTACATTCAGATTGTTTGTTGTTTCCCTGTATTTTCAGAAAACTATTCAGGTTTATAATCTCTAGGTTTCTGTAGAAAAAAAGAAAAAAAAACTTAAGTTCAGCTTTGGAATTTGTTTTTCTTGCTTATGTTTGTTTGTTTGTAATTAAGCACAAAGCTACACAATGGGCTATCTATGCTCTGCCCA